CTCAGTAAATATATTTCTAAAGGTGCTATTGACATGACATTTTCACCACATGTCAGTAACAGCCCACAAAGAAACCAAAATAAATACGTTCAGAAATTAGAATATAAATGGTGAATGCTTGTGAGCTATTATGAAATGAGGTGTTCAATATGTGACTTTAGATGTCCTTATTTCTCACGTGAGGTTCGCTGGCACTTGCACTGACTCATATGCTAGTGTATATATAATATTTTCAAAATAGATAGTGCCGCGCTCCCATGTACCAATATGTATATCTTATACTTTCAAAGTGCTAATGAATAGCTTTCAAGATACTGCATGTATCAAACAATTATTACTAGTGACTCAAAACATCATTGTGAATATTAATCTTCATGCAAGTGACATTAATAACTGATAATCCTAAGGTGATAGTGCCTATTAAAGTACAGTGATATACAAATCAGAAATACTCCTCTATTCTACTGTGATCCTTATATTTATATTGTGCAAACACATATATATTATGTGCACGTGCTTATGATATATTCAATAAAAAAAAAAAAAAAAAAAAAAAAAAAAAAAAAAAAAAAAAGTCTTTCAAAATAAATGTGCAGGTGGATTCTTGGTTCCCTCTCGCCGAGTGCTTAATGGTCTCCCTATGTGCTCACCTCTATATTTGCCTGAATAAATCCAGGCAAATACACTTTTTATCCTTCCAGGATAGATGGGATGGAATGATGCTCTTGAATTATCTCAGAAGGTGGATGTGGATTTATATTTGTTCTCCTGTAGTTGCTCATGAGTGGGTATACTGACCATCTCTCTGAGGATCTCCCAATTCCCCTCCTGGGGCTGTTTCCTTTTCCAGTCCTCCTTATATCAGCTCAAAGGGTGTTGTTCAATTGAGAAAGGAAGACAAACAGACCATAGTGTCTTATCCTTGTGCAAAAAGGGGGTTTATTGCTGCCAGTTGCACAGTAGTATACAATTGTAGTCCAGCATAAATGTCTCTGCCTCTGTTCCTGCAGTGCTGTCTACCTGTGTCTGTATTCAGATCACCGAGCCTCTCCAGTGCAATGTCGTGACGTCAGAGCCCCTCCCCTACGCGTATCGTCACAGGGTCACGTGACTTCATCAGGGGGAATGATTAGATGCCACGACTATGCTAATACTCATACGTTCAGAAATTAGGTTATGTGTAGTAAAATGGAATGACACAGGGAAAAAGTATTGAACACGCAAACTGAAATGTAATACTTTGTACAAAATCCTTTGTTGGGAATGACAGCTTTAAGACGCCTCCTGTATGGATAAACTGCAATAAGGCTGTGAAGGTCTTCAGAAAGCCCTTTGCTTTTACCCATCATGAGATGTTTCTTGAGTGACACCTTGGATATGAGACACCTTTTTGTAGGCCTTTAGTTGAAACTGAACCAGCTGATATTAATTTGCAATGACAAGGGGCAGGATTGCTTTCTAATTACTGATAGAATTCAGCTGGTGTCCTGGCTTTCCATGCCTTTATGCACATCCCGTTCTTCATATGCAATACTTTTTCCCTGTGTCATTCCATTTTATTACACATAACTTAATTTCTGAACTTAATTTGTTTTGGTTTCTTAGTATGTATGGATTGCATGGGTTGTTACCGACATGTAGCGCCTTTAAAAATATATTTACTGAGAAAAATGGTGACGTGTTCAATACCTATTTTACCCACTGTATGTGCTAATTCAACAAACAGCACAAGAAAGAGAACCAAACCTGAACAAAACAGTACATCTAGTCAGTGTGCTGCACAGAATGGTTAGCACCTACATTTTGACCAATAATTATTACAGTAGACATGTATGCTGTTATTTAAAGTGGTTGTAAACCCTTATATATACACCTTATATATACCCAGGCATATACAGTATCTCACAGAAGGGAGTACTCCCCTCACATTTTTGTAAATATTTATTATATCTTTTCATGTGACAACACTGAAGAAATGACACTTTGCTACAATGTAAAGTAGTGAGTGTACAGCTTGTATAACAGTGTAAATTTGCTGTCCCCTCAAAATAATTCAACACACAGCCATTAATGTCTAAACCGCTGGCAACAAAAGTGAGTACACCCCTAAGTGAAAATGTCCAAATTGGGCCCAAAAGTCAATATTTTGTGTGGCCACCATTATTTTCCAGAACTGCTTTAACCCTCTTGGGCATGGAGTTCACCAGAGCTTCACAGGTTGCCACTGGAGTCCTCTTCCACTGCTCCATGACGACATCACGAAGCTGGTGGATGTTGGAGACTTTGCACTCCTCCACCTTCCGTTTGAGGATACCCCACAGATGTACAATAGGGTTTAGATCTGGACACATGCTTGGCCAGTCCATCACCTTTACCCTCAGCTTCTTTACCAAGGCAGTGGTCGCCTCGGAGGTGTTTTGGGGTCGTTATGTTGAAATACTGCCCTGTGGCCCAGTCTTCGAAGGGAGAGGATCATGCTCTGCTTCAGTATGGCAGAGTACATGTTGGCATTCATGGTTTCCTCAATGAATTGTAGCTCCCCAGTGCCGGCAGCACTCATGCAGCCCCAGACCATGACACTCCCACCACCATGCTTGACTGTAGGCAAGACACACTTGTCTTTGTACTCCTCACCTGGTTGCCGTTACACACGCTTGACACCATCCAAACCAAATAAGTTTATCTTGGTCTCATCAGACCACAGGACATGGTTCCAGTAATCCATGTCCTTACTCTGCTTGTCTTCAGAAAACTGTTTGTGGGTATTCTTGTGCATCATCTTTAGAAGAGGCTTCCTTCTGGGATGACAGCCATGCAGATCAATTTGATGCAGTTTGTGGTGTATGGTCTGAGCACTGACAGGCTGACCCCCCCAACCCTTAAACCTCTGCAGAAATGCTGGCAGCACTCATTCATCTATTTCCCAAAGACAACCTCAGGGTCTTGGCAATCTTCTTATAGCCTTGGCCATCTTTATGTAGATCAACAATTCTTTTTTTCAGATTCTCAGAGAGTTCTTTGCCATGAGGTGCCATGTTGAATTGCCAGTGACCAGTATGAGAGTGTGAGAGCGATGACACCAAATTTAAACACACCTGCTCCCCATTCACACCTGAGACCTTATAACACTAACAAGTCATGTTATACAAACTGTGCACGCACTACTTTGCATTGTCGTAAAGTGTCATTTCTTCAAATGTGAGGGGTGTACTCACTTCTGGGAGATACTGTACATAAGTATATATATACACACACACACACACACACGTGATACACAAAGATTAAACAAATCCTCCTACATAAGTTGTACCTGTTTATCTGCCATATTCTCTTCTCCACAGCCTTTCAAAGTACAGAATTTATGCAGCTTGTCTGAGATTTCAGAAAACAGATCTTAGTGAAAATGGCTCAGAGAGCTGATTGGAGGGAAAGGACACACCCTTCTTTATACAGCGCATACGAAAATAGCGGACACTACCAATCACAGGCTGTATGCTGGAGGTTCCTCTCCATCACCTTTTTCACCTCTTGGTGACAGGACAGAATTGGCTGTATAAGTGTATTGGTTCCTCCTGCACTAGATGAACTCTACCTAACCACAGCTGCTAACACCCAAATCCTTTACCTCAAAAGACAAGTAGCATAAATAGTGTATATATGGTACAGCGCTAAAAACAAATATTACAGTAATAAAAACTATAAAAAGATCCAATGGGATCTAAAATAAAGTGCAAGAAACTAAAGTGCAACACACAACCCAATCCCAAGTTGGGATAATATTCACCAAATGATGTCAACAGAGTGGATCCCAAAAATGGGATAATCATAAAGTGACAAGTGCTGAATCACAATATACAGTGTATACACAATACATGCAGTGACAATAAAAAAAATGCAAAAAACACAATAAATAGGTGTGGTGAGACAATAAAAAAATATATGTATATAAATATATGCAGTGAAAAAAACAAATTCCTGTGAAAAAATGATCACATATAATAAAAAGGTAGCAAAAGTCCAGTAAAGTCCAATGATAGTGCTGTTGGAATCCTCCCCACAAAAACAGTGCTCCACTACCAACAAGGAACTGGTGCCGTGCAGTGTACACTCCAAACAGATCCTAAAATGGCTGAAATGCCCGCTCACCTCCAATAGTGACCCTACGGGCCAACACGCTTTTGGACCACACCAGGATCCTATGATATATAAAACTCCTTAGTAGTCGATCTCCACATACACAGGGTTCCAATTATACCATATAAGATATCCCCTTCCTGGATCGATAGGCAGGTCTTATCTCCACCTTACTCACCGAGATATAGCCCAGGTCTCAGTAAAAATCATGGCCTCCTCTCTCACACCGACTCTGCTTAGCTTCTCCAGACATCAACACAGTAAAGACTGCTCAGCAGCATCCCAGGAACTACATCCCCAGAGTGCTTTGCTATGGAGCAGAAGTTACATGCGGTAGAGCATATTGTGATTCAGCACTTGTCACTTTATGATTAATCCCATTTTTGGGATCCACTCTGTTGACACAATTTGGTTCGTGTTATCCCAATTTGGGATTGGGTTGTGTTTTTTTGTTTTTTTTTCACTGCATTCAGGGTTTGAATTTGTGAACCCTTTTTGATATATTCACTGAGTTGCACTTTAGTTTCTTGCACTTTATTTTAGATCCCATTGGATCTTTTTATAGTTTTTATTACTACTGAAATTTTGTTTATTTTTAGCGCTGCACCATATATACACTATTTAGGACAGACTTGGCTCATGCTGGCAGCAGAGAGACAAGACATTTAGTTCTCTGGCTTAAGACAAGTACAAACTATAAAAAGGGATAACATTTCATTCATACTTCATGTCTGAGGTATACAACCACTTTACCTATACAGATTCCAAAACTGAAAGTGTAAACCCTTTTCAAAAATGTCATAAAATGCAGGACCACCATTTAAAATGACTTCTCTATGCTACATGAAGCATTTTACTTTACTCACATTTTATATCCAATGTAAAAGGATACCTAATATCGCTCTCCAAAGCCGGATGCTTTACAACACAGGTTATGTTTCTTCTTCTTGCAAATCTTGTTGGGACCAGCTTGTATTGGCTTACAACTGTGACAGTTTTGTTTGCAAAGGTTGTATAATTCACCTCTGCTTTCCCAAGAGCCTCTTCCCAGCTCACCTCTGCAGCAGGTTTTCCTGTAGCAGCTGTACAGATGGCCGCTACAGTTTCATTTGCACCATCCATTAAAGAATCGGGCCCTTTAGTTATACTTACAGTTGGTTCAACTAAAACAAAGAAACAAATACATGTTAAACAATGCAAACTTCAACAGTTTTTTTGTAAAGTAAAATCAGGTCGTCCTAATAAAACCTAAAAAAAGGCTTATTATAATACGTTGTAGCAAGGCAGTCATGATAGCAGAGGCCCTGGAAGAGTTAATCTTTAGGCCTACTAAAATGTATTGCATTCTCCAAATGTCTTCTTTTGATCATGCATTATTTAGTCCAGAATAAACTTGCTAGGTCACTGGATTAATGGGTGTAAACTTCAGCCACCCAACACCTGGCCACAGTAGTTAAATCAGCATTAGCATTCTTGGTCACAGCTAGACACTAATGATGCTGGAGAAGTAGGAAGCTTGAACAAAGGGCTGCGTTCTCTTCTAACTCACCTACCCAGCAATGTAAGAAAACAGAAAGAGCACTGGAAGATGTGATTTTTAGCATTCTGCACTGGAGTAAAGGAGAGAGGAGCAAAATATAGGACTAGGCTGCTATATTATAGCCAGGTGGAGAAAACTACCATATATACAGGTAGTCCAGTGGCAATATACCAAACAACACACACACACATATATATATATATATATATATATATATAATATATATATATTATATATATATATATATATACACACACATACATATATATACACACACACACACATATATATATATATATACACACACACACACACACACACACACACACATATCTTACCACAATATTCTCATTCAACCACACCCTTTAAAAATACCAATATTCTGGCCACATACCCAATTAAAATCAATAATGCAAATACTTACTACTTTGCATGGCATGCTACTCACTCACAAAGGATTCTTAAAGATCCCAGGCATAAGCACCCATGGGCATATTTATAGTGTGTGTACACACACACACACACACACACCTCAAAAAAAATTAAAGGAACACTTTGAAAACACATCAGATCTCAATGGGGAAAAAATATCATGCTGGATATCTATACTGATATGGACTGGGTAATGTGTTTGGAACGTAAGGATGCCCCATCGTTTGATGGAAATGAAAATTATCAACCTACAGATGACTGGATTCAAAAGACACCCCGAAAATCAAAGTGAAAAATATAATGCAGCAGGTTAGTCCATTTTTCTGAAATTTCATTGCAGCAACTCAGAATGGTACTCAGTAGTTTGTATGGCCCCCATGTGCTTGTATGCATGTCTGACAATGTTGGAGCATGCTCCTAATGAGACGGATGGTGTCTTGGGATATTTCCTCCCAGATCTGGACCAAGGCATCCTGAGCTCCTGGACAGTCTGAGGTGCCACCTAGTGGCGTCGGATGGACCGAAACATGATATCCCAGAGGTGTTCAATTGGATTTAGGTCAGGTGAGCGTGGGGACCATTCAATAGTATCAGTTCCTTCATCTTCCAGGAACTGCTGCATACTCTCGCCACATGAGGCCAGGCATTGTTGTGCACCAGGAGGAACCCAGGACCCACTGCACCAGCACAGAGTCTGACAATGGGTCCAAGGATTTCATCCCAAAATCTAATGGCAGCCAGGGTGCCATCGTCTAGCCCAGGGGTCTCCAAACTGTGGCCGCAGGCCGGATGTGGCCTTTTGCTTGTCTTTATCCGGCCCTTGGGGCACTCCACTGATATGAGGCACTATCCCTTCCACTGACACCAAAGACAGGGCACCATTCCGCCACACTGACACCAACAATGGGGCACTATTCCTCCCACTGACACCAATGATGGGGCACTATTCCTCCTACTGACACCAATGACTGGGGCACTATTCCTCCCACTGACACCAATTATGGGGTATTAGTCCTTCCACGGACACCAGTTATGGGATACTATTCCTTCTACTGACACCAATTATGTAATTTTTTTTTACTCCCATTTAGAAAACCAAGCCCACGGCATTTTCTACTCCCACTGACCATAGTCCAGCCCCCGTAAATACTGAAGGGTAGTAAACTGGCCCGTTAGTTTCAAAAGTTTGGAGACCCTTGGTCTAGGCTGTAGAGGTCTGTGTGTCCCTCCATGGATATGCCTCCCCACACCATAACTGACCCATTCCAAACGATGAAACGGGCAGTATAACGTTCTCCACGGTTTCTCCAGACACTTTCACGTCTGTCACATGTGCTCAGGGTGAACCTGCTTTCATCTGTGAAAAACACAGAGCGATAGTGGCGGACCTGCCAATTCTGGTTTTCAATGGCAAATGCCAATCGAGCTCTATGGTGCGGGGCCCCACTAGAGGACGTCGGGCCCTCAAGCCACCCTCATTTAGTCTGTTTCTGATTGTTTGGGCAGAAAAATTTCACACCAGTGGCCTGCTGGTGGTCATGTTGTGGGGCTCTGGCAGTGCTCATCCTGTTCCTCCTTGCACAAAGGAGCAGATGCCAGTCCTGCTGATGGGTTAAGGACCTTCTACTGCCCTGTCCAGCTCTCCTAGAGTAACTGCCTGTCTCCTGAAATCTCTTCCATGCTCTTGAGACTGTGCTGGGAGACATAGCAAACCTTCTGGCAATGGCACGTATTGATGTGCCATCCTGGGAGGAGTTGAACTGCCTGTGCAACCTCTATAGGGTCCAGGTATCGCCTCATGCTACCAGTAGTGACACTGACCCTAGCCAAATGCAAAACTAGTGAAAAACAGTCAGAAAAGATGAGTAGGGAAAAAATGTCAGTGGCCTTCCCCTGTAAACCCATTTCTGTTTTGGGGGTCGTCTCATTGTTGCCCATCTAGTGCACCTGTTAATTTCATTAACATCAAAGCAGCTGAAACTGATTAACTACCCCCTCTGCTACTTAACTGACAAGATCAATATCTCAGGAGTTTAATTGACATGAAGCTATAATCTGGATTAAAAAGTGTTTAATTTTTTTTGAGGTGATATACACACACACACACACACACACACACACACACACACACTATTGCCGAAAGTATTGGGGCACACAGGCAGGCAGACTGCTTCTACAAACTTCTTTAAAAGAATGGGTCACGCTTAGGAGCTCAGTGATCTCAAGCGTGGTAACGTGATAGGTTGCCACCTGTGCGATAAGTCCATCTGTGAAATTTCCTTGCTACTAAATATCCCACGGTCAACTGTTAGTGGTATAACAAAGTGGAAGCAACTGGGAACAACAGCAACTCAACAACAAAGTGGTAGGCCAAGAAAAATTACAGAGTGGGGTCAGCGCATGCTGAAGTGCACAGTGCGCAGAAGTCGGCAAAGTCAAGACACTTTAAGAGTTCCCTTCACTGGATCTAAGGGGCCAAGCCCAACCCCTGAAATACAACCTCACACCATAATCCCCCCTCCACCAAACTTTACACTTGGCACAATGAAGTCAGGCAAGTACTGTTCTCCTAGCAACTGCCAAACCCAGACATGTCCATCGGATTGCCAGACAGATATACGTGATTTTAACTCCAGAGACCAGTGGCGGCATGCTTTACATCACTGCCTCCAACTGTTTGCATTGCACTTGGTGATGTAAGGCTTGGATGCAGCTGCTCGGCCATGGAAACCCATTCCATGAAGCTGTTTACGCACTGTTGTGCTAATCTGAAGGCCACACGAAGTTTGGAAGTCTTTAGCTATTGACTCTGCAGACAGTTGACGACTTCTGCACACTGTACACTTTAGCATGCGCTGACCCCGCTCTGTCATTTTACGTTGCCTACCACTTCATGGCTGAGTTGCTGTTCTCAGTTGCTCTGTTATAATACCACTAACAGTTGACTGTGGAATATTTTTAGTAGCATTGAAATTTCATGGATTGGACTTTCTTGCACAGGTGGCAACCTATCACAGTACCACACTTGAATTCACTGAGCTCCTGAGAGTGACCCATTCCTTCACAGATGTTTGTAGGAGCAGTTGATATATTTTTCTTCATGCTTTGATTTGGAATA